CCCTTCCCCATGCTGTTACGCCCCCCCATCGGCTGCTGCCTCTGCCATGGCCCTGCCATGTCCTGGACAAGGGTGGGATGGTGCTGGCAGGGACCTCCACAATCCTGTCCCCTCCTGTTGTGAGCAGCAGGGACCTCTTTCCCATCCCCACATGCCCATGGTCCAGCCCCTGACAGCTCGGGTGCAGGGAATTGCTTTGGAGGAGGGATGTTTGCTGATGCCTCTCGAGGATGGAGCGTTGGCATCGCCGGCAGCATCTCCCCTGGGTGTTGAAACCAGGGAATGAGGGATTCCTGCATCCCCTAGCCCCATTTCCCAGCCAGCCTTGAGGATCCCCCTGGGAGAAGTGAGAAGCGAGCTTGTCCCCCTGCACCGTTACGGCTCAAGGTGTTTGATTGCTCCGTACAGGGATAAACCCAGGCTGCGAGGTGGATTGCGACCCCAGTGTATCCCAAGTGTCCCCTGGCATAGCAGCATCCCAAGAAAGGGCTCTGGGGTTCAGAGGTAGCTTTAGATGCTCGTGAAGCTGCAGGACCTTGTGATGGCTGGTCAACTCAGGGTTGTTGGAGGCTGAGATGGAGATGAAGGGAGAGTCCATCCTGCTCCAGGGCACCAGCTGATGCTGGCTCCATCCCTGACAACTTCTGGTGCGGACAGATTTGCAATCTCCTTTGCACTGGGACCTGCTGCCTCCAGGACTTTGCTGGCTCCATCTCCATGGAGAGCTGCTGGCAAGCACCGTTCTCTGCTCGGCAAAGTGGGAGTATCCTGGGGAGACGCCCATGATATCTCCTGAGCCCCTGCGATGCTCTGCTGGGGCTGGGAGGTGCATAGGGGAGGGGGGCTGGGGGTCCTGCTTGCAGCAGGAGGGCCAGGGAGCTCCCGGGTGTGGGGTGTATGTAGGGCAGGACCCCAACCTCAGCCTTCCATCCCTGCACCTCACGGGGCCGAATCCTGCTAACCCCCTCCCCTCCCGGCTTCCTGCAGGGCCATGCCTGTGACCACTATGGAATCTACCACACCAGCCCCACGCTGGGCAGCCTGGCCAAGCCAGTGGTGCTCTGGACCCAGCAGGATGTGTGCAAATGGCTGAAGAAGCACTGCCCACACAACTATCTCGTCTACGTCGAGGCGTTTTCCCATCACGCCATCACAGGTAGGCACCACCACTTCATTCCCAGCGCTCAGCGTGTGCTCCTGGGAAACTGCTGTTGGGAGGTTTGTGGTTGTGAAGGCAGACATACCCACTGGTTCTGTCCCCTCTCTGTGGTTCTGTCCCCTCTCCCTGCAGAGATGCAGCACTGGGCACGGGGACATCCGCCCGTCTAGGCTGGACAGGAGGCATCTGACACCGGGGTCAGCTCCAGGACAGGCTGGAGGGTGGTTAAAATGAGCATAAATTGCCCAGGGGGGATTGTGCTTTGTAAGGTGGGGAATAGCCTTCTCCTCACCAAGATTCAAATAATAAGAATGTTTTAATACTTTTTTGAATAGCAAAAATTGTTGCAGAAGAGGAAAGACCTCCACCTAGCTGCGGTCCAAGTTGCAGTTGTCTTCTTCCAGGTCTGAATCCAACTCCCAGCCAAGAAATGAGCATAAATTGCCCAGGGGGGATTGTGCTTTGTAAGGTGGGGAATAGCCTTCTCCTCACCAAGATTCAAATAATAAGAATGTTTTAATACTTTTTTGAATAGCAAAAATTGTTGCAGAAGAGGAAAGACCTCCACCTAGCTGCGGTCCAAGTTGCAGTTGTCTTCTTCCAGGTCTGAATCCAACTCCCAGCCAAGTCCTTGGGAGAGGTTTAACCTCTAGGGCCTGCTCCCACTCCTTTGACCCCTGGAAGCAATGGCTTCATGTTCTATGTCTGAGCATCTTCCCCATTCGACCGCGACGCGTGTGTGGCCAGGCAGAGCTCTGCCAGGGCCAAGAGAAAGATGCTGAAGCTGCCCGGGAGGGATGCAAAAGCCTAATGCAAGAGCTCAGCCAGCCCTTGCACAGGAAACAAAGGCAGCATTAGCAAACGTACGCTGGGAAACAAGGACAAAAAAGCTGCTTGTAAATCCATCATCTAATAGCCCCCGGACTGGAGGAGAGTGGCTCGCTGGGGATGGTGGCGGCAATGCTAATGTGTTTTGATGGGTACCCCCACTCCCCGGGATGCCCAGCCCGTGCAGGGATGCAGAAAAACATCTCCTGATGCAGGAGGTGGCGCGGAGAAATGGAAAGCTCCTGCCTGCAGGGCTGGGTTATGTGATTGCTGGAGCCAGTACCTGTCCTGAGGCTGGGGAACCTCCAGCTGTCAGCCGGTGCTGTCTGAAAGCGGGGTGACCTGTGAGGCCTCTCCATCCCTGTGGGTCCAAGCAATGAAAAGAGCATTTGAGGATTTCTTCTCTCTCCCTCGCACGAAGGCGGGCTCCTGTTTGAGTTGCCGTTGCCCAGCGTCCCCGCTGAGCGATGCCATGTTTGCAGGTCGGGAGCGCTGCTGCGGCTCAACGGGGAGAAGCTGCAGCGCATGGGCATCGCTCTCGAGGCGCAGCGGCAGGAGGTCCTGCAGCAGGTCCTGCAGCTCCAGGTGCGCGAGGAGGTCCGAAACCTGCAGCTCCTCAGCCAAGGTAGGGCCAGCCGGGAGGGCACGCGGGGAGAGACACCACCAAGCCCAACCCCAGGGAGGTTGTGGCCATCCTGGCAAGGAGAACGGTGGCTGGGTGTCTCCCACAGCTGGAGGCACCCACCTGTGTGTCGCCGGTGCAAACGCAGCCCACGCCGGGGCTGGGATGGGGTGTGGAGCACAGGCTGGCGTTCACGGAGAGGGGTTGTGGTGCACAGGCTGGGGTGAGCTTGGATGAGTTGTGGTGCCCTGGTTGAAGGGATGGGCTGGGGTGCACGGATTTTGGCACACACAGACAAGCTGTGGTGCGTGGGGCTGGGCTGTGGTGCACAGGTTGTGCTGCACAGGGATGGGTCATGGTGCACAGCTTGTGGTGGCCGGGGACAGGCTGTGGTGCACAGCCCCAAGTCCATTTTGCATGGAAGAGCTGGGATTCTCCAGGGCTGGCAGTGGGTGAGCTGGCCATGCCACCCTGCAGGCTGTTTATTCCTTCCTCTCCCACCTTGTTCCAGCTTCTTTTGGCAATGTCTCCTAGCTGATCTGTCTGTTTGGCAGATTGCATCAACACTGTGAACCGACCACCTCTGGGATGGGCTGTGCACCGCCGATACGAGACCTGAACCGCGCACTTGGAATACGAAGAGACAGCTTCCCAGCCACGCCGGGGCTTCTCTCCTTCTTCTCTCTCTTTTCTTTTTTTTTCACGAATATGTTTCTGTGCAGAGATGGGAGGTTTCCTCTGGCAGACGTGGCTCTTGGCTGGAGGAAAATTAGCAAAGCGGCTGCTGGGACAAATGAACTTTTGCTCACCTGAGCCTGAGGGTTCAAAGGGAAAGCGATGGAAAAAAGGAGACGGTGACAGGCTCAGCATCGTGGACAAATTGAGAACGGTTCTTCCCAGGATTGCTCAGAGCAATGCGCAGGACGGTGAAGCATCGTGCACATGGGCAACATCCGAGTGCCCGGCAGCTCCTCTCCAAACCTCGGAGCTTATTTAGGGAGCTTCAGTTTTCTCTCCAGACTGGGCTGTCTTCCAGCGTCCTAGGAGGTAACGTTATCAGTAGCAAATAAGATGACTCGACCAGCCAGAAAAAAATTGAAAGAAGGGCCAAGCCACTAGCACCGGGTCCACGTGGTGAATTAAAAAGGGAGCTGAGTCATGGAAGCTGGAAAATTCAGGAGCAAAGGCAGGGTGGACATGCCAGGAGGGTGCTGGGGACTGGAGGAAGCTGTGCCAGGAACTCGTCCTTCATCCGTCCTCGTTTGCAGGCAGACGTGGGAGCTGATGCAGGGGCCAGGTGGGAGCAGCCACGGATGCTGCCGGGCGGTGCCGGGTGCTGCTCGGCGTGAGGCTGGGGGTTCCTGGGTGCCACGTCCCCCCTGACCCTGGTGCCCTGTTGTCCTCCTTCCCATGGCCTCTGTGCTTCCATCAGCTCTTTGCAGAGCTCTGCTCCTCTGGGCATTTGCAAATGCTCATCCTGATCCCCTGCCCAGGGACTGGTGACGGTGCCGCCAAACCCGGGCACCATCCCATGACCCAGCTCATTGTTGCTGTTACATCCCTCCCAGCACCCAAACCTTCCCTGTCTGAGGCCACAGACCGCTCAGGCAGGCAGGTAAGGAACAACTGGGGATTTAGGGACAGGGTGGATGCTGTCACCCCTCTACATTCCCTCCCCAGTGATGAGGGCAGGGCTGTGGGAACAAGAGGGTGAGTCCTGAAATAGCAGCACCCCAAAGCCAGGTGTCAGGGCTGGCGGGGATGCAGAGGCAGGTCACGGTGGCCCCCCCAGCTGGGTGCCCACCCACCATCCTCCTGTTCTCCTGCTGGTAATAAAATAAGAGACTGTTATTTTAACTTGCTGTTCTCCTGACTCTTCCCGCACCTGGGTTTAGTCCTTCCAGCCACTTCTGGGAGACATTTACAGCCCTAAATCCCCCGGGATAAGCACCTCCACAGCTGACAAGGGTCCTGACCACAGGAACAAGCCTCAGCCTGTGGGTTTTGCCCCTACTTAAATCCTTCCCCAGCCCCACAGGCCACTGAGGATTAAGAAGGTGCTGACCTTTGGTGGCAGGTGGCTGGGCAGGGAGGTTTGGGGGGCATTTGGGTTCATAGTCACCACTCAGGTGCAGATAATGGTGTCTTCTCTGTCCCGTTGTGGTGACACTGCTCCTCAGTGAAGAAGCTGCGAGATTTCCATGGCAGTGCCATCAAAGAGGAGCTGAAAATTAGTTCTTTGCCCACAGCTAGTGAAAACTGTGATTGCACTCAAAGGATTTTTGTCCTAAATCCCGAAGGAAAGCTGCCCTCAGAGTCCTCCCAGCAGTCTCAAGGTGTCAGTGGGGCAGGAGGAGATGCAACGCCCCACGGATTTGCCTCCAGGATTTGGAGGGCAGGAACTCCCCAGGGCTTGGACCTCCGAGCACAGACTGAGGCTGGATGGGCGTTTTCAGATCAGTGCCTGGCTCAGGGCTGGGGAAGGAGGTGGTGGGACCCACGTGGGATGTGGGATGCACGGAGCATCCTCGGGCTTCAGCTGTGCTGGGTCCTGGGTGGGGGATTGTACAAGGTCCAGGTGATGGAAATGTCTTAGAAGCAAAATCTGATTCTCAAAACAGCTTGATTTGGGGAACAGATTCACCAAATGGTACTCGGATCCATGTGGGGGAATTCTCTCTCCAGCAGAGAAGGGTGATTTCCACGACACTAGCATTGCCAAAGGAGTTTATAACTCACCTCAGAGCAGAAGTTTTGTGCTGGGCTGGAGGCAAAGCTTCCAAAATTTCCCAAATCCAAATTTCATCAAAATTTCCTAAATCCAGATTTTCTCCAACTCAGAGAAAGGCACCACCTGGCCAGTGCCTGCATCCAAGCAACCCGGACCACAGTGGCTGTACTCTCCCGTCTCTGCATGTAGGTCAGTAATTCCTGTTTGAGCTTGGCTGTACTGGGGGCAAAAGGGGGGCTGCCACCCCCAGGCTCTGTCTGTGGGGATCTCTGTCCCCACAGGACACAGAAGTCAGAATTTCCTCCTCTGCCCATACTGCCCTTTTCCAAAAAGCAGCAAAATTGGCTCTTCTCACCTCACTAGAATTCCACAAGCATCAAAGCTGGAGGAATTCACTGAGTTTTAAGAAAAGAAAAGAAAACAATGAGGAAAACCTCCATCTCTCCTACAGCAGCAGCGGTCTGAGCCATGGGCTCTGCACCAACGGGCACGATGGAGCGGCACACCCATCCTGGCTGGTGCAGGATCCGTGTTTGCTCCTTGTTACCCCCTTATACAGAGAGCAGAGCACCGTGCAGGATGTGGCTCCATCCCTCCCTGAACACAGCCACATAGGAAACTATTAAACCTTCAATCCTGGATGGGTCAGAGACAAATAAAGCCCAAGCAAGACCCCTCTCATGTCCCAGCAGTGAGTGCCAGTTGAAGGTGTGGTAGAGGGTGCTCAAGGTGGGGCGAAGTGGTGGCGGGGGCATACAGGGTAGCAGGGTGCGCAGGGAAGCGGGCAGCATCCCCGGGAGCAGAGGACGGGAGCTGCTGGGTGAGGAGCATCGTTAGAGGGAGATGCTGAGCTTCTCTCCAGAGCTTCGGAGCTGCGCGGTGGAGAAACGGCTTCTCCAGGCTCCGGGGCTGTGCTCACGCAGCAAGTGGGTGATCGTTTTTCTTGAAATGCAGCTGTGGGGCGCAAGGAGAGGTGCTGGGGCTGCCTCCGACCCCCCTGCAAAGGTAGGGTACCCCCGAAAGTCCGTCTGCCCCTTGCTGTGCTCCCGAGGGCGTGCGTGGCCATGGGAACAGCCCATGTGCTGTGTCCAGCCGTGCCGGGCTGTGTCTCCCTCTGGCTCCTCGTCTGCGCAGAAGAAAGCGGAAACTCCCCCAGGCGCGCTCGGCCAGAGCCCGAAACCCAGCCCTGTTGGGGTGTCCCTCCGAGACCCACCTGGCAGGATGGGGTTGGAGGAGCTGGGTGAAATGTTGTTCATGATGCTGTCCTGCCCCTCAGCCCCTTGCCCCAGCGGGGTCTCTGCTGGCTGTGCCTTCATCCCAGCGAGGATGCTGATGGTGAGAGCGGAGCATCCTTCCAGGCTGGCTTTGGACCACAGCTCCGGACCAGTGTCTGGTGCCACGGACAGAGGGATGCCCAAGGCCAGACTCTGCCCAGGGCAGCTGGGGTGTATCCAGAGCAGCCTCGAGCATGGCTTTGCTTTTAGTGACTCCAGGCACGCAGCAAAATCCACCAAGGAAGAAGTGTTCTCCCCACAGCTCCCTGTGCCAGCACCTGGGCTGGTGGGTGCTGCACCAGACCCTTTGGTGCTGGAGGGAGATGGGTGCTCGAGTTCTTCTCCGGACCAAGAGGCAGCTCGGCCACTCCTCAGCTTTCACTGAGCAAGAAAAATACCTTATATTTGTCTAGCACTTATCTGCCAGCGGTATTCCAGGCACTGCCCCAAAACAAACAGCGCTAGACAATGAATCACAGATGAATCGGGCGCAGATTCGTGCAATATTAAAACCAGACAACAATTACAGCAAAGGGAAAACACCAGTGAGCTTAACTCAATCCCGTGCAGCAGGCAGGAGGGCCTGGACAGCAGCACCGGGGTGAACAAGCAGGCAACAGCAGCTATCGCAGAGCACGCGATTTTGTGGTCTCTGCTTAAGTTTTTCTGCTCGTGGTGGTTTTTTCCAGGAAGCAGGACAATGCAATGCCAGCATCAGAAACACTGGCCAGCGTCTTCTCATCTTATAAAGGAAAAATCCAGTGATCTCTTCCCAGTGGCAGAGGCAGATTGCAGATTACGGCAAAGTTTCCAAGCAAAAAAAAAAGAAAAAGCCAACACGGTTGCACATAGAAAATGCATGCCTAATTTGTCCAAATAATTACTGAGCGTGGCTTGATGATACAGATACCTCCAGCCCTGAAACGCTGCTGATTGCATCTCAGATTCAGGAAACCATCCCCATTCCCCTGACATTGAAATTCACGCTCGGCTACGAGCGCATCCCGCGGTTTCCCCGGCTGTGTGGGGATGCGATTTGCTGCGCGGGGCGGGATGGCAGCGCCTGCCACAGGCTCTGGTGAAACGAGACC